TATATATATATATATTTTCCAAGATGGCACCACGGTAGGCAACCTGTTACTGCAGCTCCCAGCTTTTTTCCAACTTTTCTGTGTTTTTCTTGTGTTTAAGTTTTTATTTTGAACTTTCATTTTTAACAAACACGGCATGGATCTGCAAAGTTTTGCTACAGGAGTTGTACTGCTCTTACTCTTTTGGGGACTTTTCTCTACCTCACTTGGAGATCCTGTGAGCAACTCTATTGTTTACAGCAGGGATCAACTGCTAGAGCTGTGCAACTGGAGGGGACCCCCACATGAGCGACCTGAGATCCCAAAGGAATTACGTCGGAGGAGGAGGGGACGCAGAGCTGGAGTATAGAAAGAGGAGGAGATGGTACAAACCGAGCATTCCCTCTGTTCTCATGGGTAATGTACGGTCTTTAAACAACAAGATGGAAGAGCTGACGGGGCTAACCAGACTGCAGTGGGAGTACCAACAGAGTAACCTTTTGCTGTTTACAGAGACTTGGCTCATGGATCAGACACCGGACTCTGTTGTAACTTTGGATGGCTTTCAACTGGTGAGAGTGGACCGGAGCATGAGGGAGATTGGTAAAAGGAAGGGGGGCAGACTGGTGATGTACGTTAATGAGAGATGGTGTAACCCTGGACACATTACTGTGAAGGAGCAACGCTGTACCAAAGACACTGAACTGCTAACGGTCAGCGCTCAGCCATACCACCTGGCTCGTGAGTTCTCACATGTGATTGTACTATTTGTTTACTTCCCTCCCTCAGCCGACACTACAGCAGCCCGTGAGGACATTCACACCACTGTCTTTCAGGTACAAACAGCACATCCACAGTCCCTGATTATCATCTTGTAGGGGTATTAAACGCTAGAATTCTAAAATGGATAATTTGTGAATTATTTAAACACGCAAATTTTCAGTTCCTCGAGGCACCACTAAAGTTTTTTTTTAGTAAAACTTCAGAAAAACTTACTTAATATTAAATCTCTAAATATGAAGGCGTTTATTCTTTCAGTTTAATGACTGCGTGAGACAAGGAAATACACGACGGAGACAAATCACGTTTGGAAATTCATCCATGTATTATTTAAAATGAGGTTCAGAGGGAAATATATGCAATACAAATCATTTCTCAGACAAAACACACTTCTAATCAGTTCCGTAAACTTAATCAAGAAGTGATGTAATTAATCTGGCATGATTACCATGTGAATGATTTTCTACATATATTTCAGTAGGACACTACTCGCTATTCCTAAGCCRACCGCTAGAGAGAGGGAGCTCAGGGTAAGAAGAATGAACATTGATTATCCTCTGATCTGATTTAAATCTTTGAACACACCATCAGATTAATTGAGCAAGATGTTTCCTACCGGTAAAGTTGCAGACGCCAAAACGGATACTTCTATGCTAATTGGGTGGCACGTGAAGTCCAACGAGTCTTAGCTGTGTAGAAGTTCCCTGGTCATCTGGTTTGCTGGCTGCATTCACTGGAGATGTTGTCCAGCACACCGGTGGCGGCTGCTTCCTTGCGGCACACTGAGGTCGTCCGACTTGAATTAAATCAGCCCCATCGTTTCAATCAATGTAAATCTCCGTCCTAAAAGCTCCTTAAGCTTAAACTATAAAAAAGGTAAAAGTGGAAAAGAATGGCCTCGCCCCGGGATGGGGGAAGCTGGAGCTAAAAAAAACTACTGCTTTCTCCTCAAACACTTCTTCAAAACTCACTACATGGCAGAACAATGAAAATACCCCCTGTTCACAATGGAACTTCTCATTGGTTAAGACTTTCTGCGGTGGTCACATGACACCATCCGGACATGTAACAKCAGAACAGAGTAATAGTTAATCAAACCAGATCAAGTTACTTAAACAATGTCATGATTATTACAGTAATTAAATCAGAGTACCAAGGTATTATTTTGACACCACAGATGCTTTTTATTGTTATAAACGGAAAACATGGGTGAAAAATAATTAAAATATTTTCAGGGTTAAGATAAAATGTCCACAGGGTGGCGTTGCTGACCCACAGATAAATCTGATGGGAGTCGTTTGATGTGTCTGCCACGCAAAGTTTTTCAGTCGACAGCTTTAACTCACAAAGTCATGAATCTGGCTTGAATACAGAGAAATATGACTCTGTTGTGTTTTCTGGATGTAAGGAGCATCTGAACACGGTGTTAGAATTTTTCTTTAGTTGAGTTTTTATTGTTCAAACTCAAACGATCATGAAACTGAACCCCRGGACTTAAAATCATTTTACCTCAGACAAGAAAATAGATCAGCCTAAAAATGAACAAAAGATCCTCAGTCCAGTCGTAAACTGTTTTTATATTTTTGTCATAGTTGAAAACCTTTTGGGTCTCGGGCCGGAAAAACTCGAGACATTACGTGCAGCAAATAAATAAATAAATAAATACAATAAAATAAATACAATAAAAATGCTGAAGAGAGGGAGCAAAATCGGATGCAAATGGTGGCTTACTGTATGGTAATAATATTTTTTTCTGTTTGTAGCCTTCTGGCTGATGCTGAGTTGAGCTGTGGCCGTAGCGCGGGTAGCTGCCAGGTGTGCGCGCGCACCCTCGCCAGCTGGGAAGGTGTTCATATATGTCAAGCCCTTCGGACGTTTACCTGTCTAATGAGCCTCAAAATCTATTGTTTTTGCTACAAATCTGTAGGCTACCACTCGTACCCACGC